GAATTGATCCGAGCAAGGAACCCGTCACTGGACATATGTGACTATCTCCCAGCACTTGGATCCCTACGCGACGCCCTTGATGAGACACAACCGCGTCGAAGCTAAGCTGTAGTTATATGACTGCTTAGCAGGAGTCAGTTGTTACCAATAGGGACCTTCCTTCACAAGGGTTGCGTAGCCGGCGTCACAGCCCAGAGCCTCCAATGCTACAGCTAGATCAAGATGGTACTGCCTCAAAGGGCGGTGGTCCTGAGGCTAGTGGAATGGGCTATGAGGGGGAGGAGTATCACCGTTATGTTGCTATTAGAAAACCTGTTCATGAGTAACCGCTGTGTTTCGGTGGCGTGCTCGACGAAATCTGGATGTTCCAGTATCAGACCAAACTGCAAGTATCAACACGATTGTACGGTATCCCCAACAGGTAGACTCACCATGACGCGGGACATCTGCGTAACATGTGGCTTGGCTATATGCTGCTCATCGCCTATGTTACCACTACGATAGAACTCCGCCATTAGGGCAACAAACAGCTCCTGATGATAGTGCTTGCTGAGTAGAAGCCTCTGTACCCTTATGGATCAAATTGAAATACCTCATTATGAATCCATTGAGGATGTTGCAGAGCTGTCTTGTAGAAAACGCTCTCCTCACTTGTATTGCCCTCTTCGCTATCTAAAGAGCCCATCGTCTATCGTACTGCATCCTGCACTGTCACTACCCTCTCCCCCAGTTCGTCATCCCATACCCCGACCTTAGCCATACTGTTGATCATAGCAGCTAGATGCTGTGGAGAATGGAACTTTATCTTCTGTCGGAACTTTGGTATCAAACACCCTTTCCAGGCCTAGTGGAGACATCACCGCAATGGGGGCCCGGCCCCCCACTTACCCTCTTATCCCGGATGCCTAGTGTAGCTAAAGAGAACGCTAGAGTGATGACAGTTAGGGGCTGCAGCCGATGGGACTCTGGCATGTTGGCGAGACGATCACAGAGTGATCTCAAGAAGGGAATATTGCGTATGTTAACTCGTGAGTACTATG